CAAAATCCCTGAGCTATTCTGGTCGTATCCAACTTGTTTCCTCTGTGATATCCAGTGTGCTTCAGTATTGGATGAGCGTGTTCCTTCTTCCTCAGAGTGTGTTGAAAGACATCGAGGCTATATGTAACAGATTTCTATGGGGTGTGGGTGAAAATGGTACACGAGCTAAGGCTTTGGTTGCTTGGGAACATGTTATTGCATTGAAAGCAGAGGGTGGTGTTGGAGTGAAGGATTTCAGAGTCTGGAACCGTGCCTGTGTTATAAGGCAAATATGGGATATTCTGGTTGGAAGTGGCTCTCTTTGGGTTGCTTGGATCAGGAAGTATGGACTCAGGACAAAGTCCATTTGGGAGGTTTCTCCAACCTCGGTGGGTTCGTGGGTATGGAAACGAATATTGAAGGCAAAGGAGGAGGCTCATCAATATATCACGGGTGCTGATGTGTCCCTGTGCTGGTCAGGGCAACCTATGCCGAGGTTCTTTGTGAAAAAGGTTTGGCTTTCTATCCGTTCCTCTAAACATAGATTGATCGACTTCCTTCCTCTCCCTGTCCAAACTTCTTGGCATGAAACTGTGTTATAGGCGGTACGGTTCTGGGATGGTTCTTCTATAGAGAGTAAACTTGGTAAACTAATATGGAGTATGGTGATGAGCTATGTATGGAGGGAGCGATGTAGAAGGTGTTATGGCACGGGTTTGCAGCACCCTCCCCAGTTGGTGGTCTGGATTCAATCTGAAGCTGGTTTTTTTATTAGTAGTCGGATAGATACACAGAATGCTCTACCTAGTTTCCAATAGTATATACCTTTTTTGTTTTTATCAGTTCTAGTAGTTTGATGGTTTTGTAATAAGTTTACTTTGTATCTTGGAGAGAGATCCTTAGTTACAAGGATCCTAGAGCTTAATGCAATTTTGATTAACCATAAAAAAAAAATCCTTGATGCTGGAAGCTGAAATCGCACCTTGCTCGTTGCTCACTTACTTTCTTAAAGGGTCTTCTGGAACCACACCAATGGTTGAGTTTGTGCAAACATGTTTGTTTAAATTATGCCATAGTGTCTGATAGTGGCACCCAGTAGGCAAAATCTAGTATGAAACCGTCCCCTTTTACGAAATTGAGTCTTTGGTTGTGGATGCTCTCACTCTACCTTCTCAGTGTTCGCAATGTGATACACAAGGAAGAGTTTTTCACACTTTCGCACCTAATCACGAGCTTTCTCGCCATAGAAAGTAGGAAAGTCTAGGCGAGGGTGCTGGTATGGATGATTACCTCGAGGAGGAATGATATCAGCACGCTCAGCCAGTTGAATCTCTGGCGCGCGTCCCCGAGGCTGAGGATGAACATCCTCAACCATCTCCACGCGAACGTGAGGGAGGGGAAATAAGCATTGATCAGCGTTACGTCCCACTGGTTGCGGCGGTTGCAAATTTTGTAGCTTGCGGCGGGTGATCAGGGGACCACAGAAGAGATGACTCCTAGTTTGAAATCTCTTATGAATGACTACCACCACTTAACTAGTTCAAGTTAGCTTGCTAGTAAAGTACACGAGTTGACTCCATGTTTGATAATAAAAATAGTACAGGAGCATGTTTGATAAAAATGCATAGTATAGCGGTATATTATACCTATAACTCTAATCAAAATACACGACACTGCAGTTTCGTAATTTAATAGATATCAGCTGCATGCACGCCAACTCATGCACATCATTAGTGCACTGGTAAGAATAAGATAGAACAAATGCACCCGTTTGTAAAAACCGTAATGAGTCTTCTTGAAGTAGTAATGAAGTTCCAATCTTAAGTTGTGGCTTCAAAAGAATTTCAAAAGTTAAGTTAAGCGGACGGACCAATTTGCGGGTTTTCGAGTGTTTGGTAAATCATACTTTTTTACTGATGAAGTTACAAAATTTTTTGAATTTGGTGTGCGAAGATATTTTTCAGGTGGTGATGTAGGTTAAATCGTATTGCAGAGGATATATAGTTTTGTTGATAATAGATAATAAGAGCTTCGCGCCTTTTAATTTGAAAATGACGTGCCAAATTAATTACTGAGGTTGAGATTCCGTAACAAATGTACCGAATTGACGAATTCATTGATAGTATACGGGAGTTGCATTTCCGTTAAATTTTGTGCGAAATGATTGATTTTTCACATGGTGACATAGGCAAATCTATCTGCATAGTAGCTTGGGCAGTTTGGTTAAGACACGTGACAACTTCAGTTTTAGTAAATTTTAAGTTGACGTTGACCCGCCAAACTAATTATTAAGGTTCTGATTTAATTTGGACTAACCAATTTATCCAATTTAGCACTTAACTGCTAAGTCATGAGCGATTTTAGGTAGATGGTGACGTAGGCAAATCGATTTGCAGAGCTTTCACAGTTTGATAGATGATGATGTATAAAAACTATTCTTTAGGGGTCGTTTGCTTGTTGGATTTGGGTCATGGATTTGGTACCCAAATCCCAAGCTTGATGGATTTAACATAAATCCATTGTTTGTTGAAGGGTGCTAAATCCGTGGGGTCCACGGATTTGGTCTTTATTTTTGGAACCAAATCCGTGGACCCCACGGACTTGTAAATCCCACATATTGATTTGGGGTTTGCAAATCCTTGATGGTTAGTTATTTATTTAACAAATTCATCATCAAATCTATCATGCAAACATTAGACTCTTCAAATCCATAATCCAATAAATCCAACAAAAATCTCAAGGTTTTTATTGGCCAAAACCCTCATTTTTCAAATCCAACAAGCAAACGACCCCTTAATTTGAAGTTTACTCACCATATTAGTTAACTAACTATTTTGTCTTACAAAAAAAACTAACTATTTTGGATCTGACAACGCGAACTAACTAATTTACCGAATTCAAGACTTCATTGAGTGTTATGCTTTCTGTTATAGCTCTCTTTCAAATTTGGCGCGAAACAACTTCTTCGAATGTGACCTATAAAATCAACATTTAGCGATCAAAGTGTACGAATAGAAGGAAATCCGCTTTCTTTACTATGATTATTCATATATAGAAGAGACTAGACATGTTTTGGCAAAGGAAGAATATCGAACTTGGCTTTCTCTGTTTCTCATAAATAACAAACATGGTACCAAAATGTGTCATAAATTTAAATAAATGATACAAATATTAAATTTAACACGTGTCCGCCATGCCATCAATCAATTAGCGCCTTTTAGCCTTCTTTCCCCCCCCCCCCCCCCCCCCCCCCCCCCCCCCGGGTTTGCCGGCAGCTGAGTTCACCGCAGCAACGAGAGATTAGAACGCTGATATCCTTTGAAAGAGCCGATCCCGTTCTCGTTCCGTTCCCCATAACCGGATTCTGGAAGCTTCTTCCATCTTCTCCCTGCTTCAGAGCACGCGCGCAAGATTTCAGACCGTCAAATCAGCACTCTGTCTCTCCCACTCTTCGTATGTTACTCCAAGATTTTGATCCTTAGCCTGTAACCTCTGGTGGAAGTTCGTCCAACGTTTATATTTTCGCTCGTGGCGATAACGAAATTTGCTCTGAATCATTTCGTTTGTTTGTGTTCTCTGCTAGCAAATTGAACTTGGTTTTCAGAACTCGGGATGCCTTAAGCGCAGGGGAAAGGAGGAGGAAGATGACGGCGAGTAGTCAAAGGAACCAGCCCCGACAGATTGAGCGATTTGCCCGACCAAGTTCTCCGCTGTATCCTCTCCTTCCTTGACACCAAGTCGGCCGCTCGAAGCGGCATTTTGTCGAGCAGGTGGAGATCACTCTGGAGAACGGTTCCCGTCCTGAATTTCGACGGGGAATCCTTCAACAACAACGTGGAGAGTTTCAAAGATTACGTGAACAAACTCTTGTTTCGCCGTTTCTGCACCTCGCATGGGGTTCGACAGGTATCGCTCCTCAATTGCCCTGGATTTGGGGAGAGATCCTATCTGTTCGCCTCTCTTTTCTGGTCCATCTCCCTTTGCAATCAATTGCTAGAGACTCTGAATTTGAGAGCAGTGCGGCTTCATACGCTCACATTAGGGTTGCCCGCGCCGGCTTTTCTAGTTCTCACATCTCTGACTCTGCGCGACTGCAGCTTTCAAGTGTCTATAAGGCAGAGATGAAATGAAAGAGAAACAAGCTTGTAGGGTTTTTCAAGTTCAACCTGGTGGTTATGGTATCAGAGCCATTCTTTCAGACCTAGGCGCCGCCCGTTATGGCTGAAAACCAAACAGCAAACGCTGCTGCTCAAATGCAGCAACCACCACAAAAGGATGACAATGCAGCTCCTCACATTGCCTATCAGATGGAAGATCCATACTTCCTCTACGGTTCAGAGCAGCCAGGCTCCCTCCTGGTTGCAGATCGTCTCAGCACAACAAACTACAACGATTGGAGTCGTGCTATGTTCAATGCTCTTACAACAAAGAACAAGTTAGGCTTCATTAGTGGAACCATACCACAGCCTGCAGAAACACATCCCAAGTATGGAGCTTGGATCAGGAACAACGATATGATATTAAGCTGGATTCAACAGTCAGTGGATTCAGAAATCAGGAAGACAATTCTCAGCATCAAATTAACAGCAGAAGCATGGAAAAGCCTTCAAAAAAGGTATGGATCTGGAGATATTGTTAGGGCTGCTGAACTTGAAGAAGCCCTCTCCACGTTGAAGCAAGGTAATCAGACTATCACATAATATTATGGGAATGTCATCACTCTTAGGGATGAGCTTGACAATTATCAACCTTTACTGCCTTGTGACTGTACTCCTACAAGTCACTTAGACTGTCGTGCCATGAAAAAGGTCTTGGAATATCAAGAAACTAACTATGTCATCAAGTTTCTCAGAGGGTTGAATGAGAGTTTTTCTGGAGTTAGATCTCAGGTTCTGTTTGGGGATGATCTTCCTAACATCAACAGCGTTTTTCAAAGAATGTTACAACATGAACGCCATCTCTATGGCACTCAAACATGGAAGATGATTGCTTCTGTTCACACAGAAACCACAGCCTTAGCCATGCCAGGCATCATGAGAAGGCCAAACCTCCCACAGAAAAGACCCTTCTGCACATTTTGCAAGAAAGAAGGCCATACAGAGGACACTTGTTATCAAAAACATGGTTGGCCACCTGATTTTGGTACTAGAACTCCTTCTTCTATTCCTCCTTGGGTGGTTGAATGCGCATTTTGCAAGAAACATGGACACACAGTTGATATATGCTTCAGAAAGAATGGTTTTCCCCTTGACTTTGCATCCAGAACATCCACCTCAAGTTATGGCAGAGGTAGAGGAAGGGGTTATGCTAACACTGCTAGTTCTCCTCAGCAGGAAGATGAGATCAAACTCACCAGATCTGAGTATGAAAAGTTAATGAATCTCATGTCTTCTCAAAAGGGCCAATCTTCTCATGCTGCTGCTGCCTTTGTCACCAACAGAGGTAACATTTCAAATTCTCTTTTGACAGGCTCTATGGTCAATATAATTTCACATACAACAGACAATTGGATCCTTGACACAGGGGCTTCTGACCATATAGTTTGCTCTCTTGACTATCTTGATAATACTCAGCCCCTATCCAATTCCTTTATTACTCTACCAACTGGTGAACTAATACAGGCTACACACACTGGAACTATTGCCTTGAATGAGAATCTAATCCTCTTGGATGTTCTATATGTTCCCACATTCACCTTCAACTTGATTTCTGTCAGCAAACTTACCACCACCAACTCTCTAAGCCTGACTTTCCATTCTAACCTTTGTCTCCTACAGGATCTGATGCAGATGAGAGTGACTGGTTCTGCTAGATTGCTCAATGGCCTCTACTACCTAGAAGTACCTAATTCCCCTAAACACATCTCAGCTGTCATCTCTCATTCCACTGATCTATGGCATTTTAGATTAGGTCATGTATCTCATTCTAAAATTCCACTCCTCAACCAATTTTGTACCTCCATCAAAACTCAGAGAGACTTACCTTGTGATGTTTACCACTTTGCAAAGCAAAGAAGGCTTCCTTTTCCTTCCAGTCAATCTGTAACCCATTTTGTTTTTGAACTTCTTCATGTAGACATATGGGGTCCCAATCCTGTTCCTACCTATGATGGACTCAAGTACTTCTTAACTATTGTGGATGACTATTCACGAATGACTTGGGTCATTTTACTTGCTGCTAAATCTGATGCTAGGGCTAAACTCATTGCCTTCTGCTATCAAATGCAGAGGCAATTTCAAACTATCATTAAAAGGATAAGAAGTGACCAAGGGGGTGAATTTCACATGGAAGATTTCTTTCAATCCACAGGCATTTTACATGAGATGTCCTGTGTTGAAACCCCTCAACAAAACAGCAAAGTTGAAAGGAAACACCAACACATTCTAGCAGTGGCAAGAGCCTTAAAGTTCCAAGCCAACTTCCCTACCACTTTCTAGGGAGATTGCATTAAACATGTTGTGTTCCTTATCAACAGAATTCCTTCTACTTTCATTCAAAACAAAACACCCTATGAACTTCTTTACCTCAAACCTCCATATCTTACCAATTTGAAATTTTTTGGTAGCCTGTGTTATGCTAGTACCCTAGGGAATCACATGACCAAATTTCAACCTAGAGCTAGGAAGGGTGTCTTTTTGGGCTACCTTGTTGGAATCAAAGGATATAGAGTTTATGACCTTACCTCTCATGACATTTTCATATCCAGAGATGTCATCTTTTATGAAACTGAATTTCCCTTTAAATATCCAGATTCCACTCCTCCTCCTCCAACAGATCCCTCTGATCCTGATTACCTTTTTCCTGTCCCCTCTCATCTTACCACTACCTCAGATGATGACTCAGACGCTCCCCTTGACTAACCCTTTTTCTCCACCTTCCTCTCCTCAACCTGCTCAGACTCCTACTGAGCCACTGAACACACCATCTCCTCCATCCTCTCCTATTTCTCCTTCTTCTCCTACTTCTGATACTCTTCTCCCTTCAAGTTCTGCCTCTCCATTGAATCATACCTCTTCCCAATCTACTCCTTCTCCTCCTCCAGCTCCTCCTATTCCACTGAGAAAATCAGACAGAACCACTAAAGCACCACCCCACCTGGTCAAAGACTACCACTATTATTTGGCCAAGCAATCTAGCACTACCAGTCAGTCAAGTTTGCAACAGATTCAAGACAAAAGGTTTGCTCTTTCGTCACTCCTCTCATATGATTCTCTTGCCCCTCATTATAAACAATTTGTTTTAAACATCTCTTCTCAGCATGATCCTTCTTCCTACAAAGAAGCCTCTAAGTTAGCAGCCTAGAATGCTGCAATGCAACATGAAATCAAAGCTTTGATCAAGAATCAAACCTGGGATGTAGTAAATCTACCTATTGGAAAGAAGCCTATTGGGAACAAATGGGTTTACAAAACCAAATTTGAATCAGATGGCAGCCTTGACAGGCTTAGAGCAAGACTAGTTGCCAAAGGCAATTCCCAACAAGAAGGAGTGGATTTTCAGGACACCTTTGCTCTAGTGATCAAAATGACCACTGTGAGAACCTTTTTGGCTATTGCTTCCATGAGAAACTGGCACATTCACCAGTTAGATGTCAACAATGCTTTCCTCCATGGAGATCTCTAGGAGGAAATCTATATGACATTGCCTAAGGGTTATGATCCACCTCCTGGTTTTACCAACCCAGTTTGCAAATTAAAGAAGTCTCTTTATGGCTTAAAGCAAGCTTCACACCAATGGCTTTCTAAATTAACAGACAAGATTCAGACTCTTAGATACATTCAAAGCGTGGCAGATCATTCATTGTTCTTCAAGGTAACCGATTCATCCTATACTTGCATTCTCATCTATGGGGATGATCTATTAGTTGGAGGCAATGACATCACAGAGATACCAAGATTGAAATAGTTCCTTCATAATGAGTTTAGCATCAAAGATTTGGGAAATTTGAGGTTCTTTTTGGGAATTGAAGTGGCAAGGAACAACAAAGGAATTCATTTATGTAACATCCTACCCAATACGTATTACCTAATCATATTGTTCATACAATTGCAGCGGAAATAATCTCGGGTGTTACATTAATTATCAAAATTTACCAAAATAAAATTTCGACATGAATTACTCGCGTGATGGGCTAACAGTTCTTGCAACTTATCCTGCAAAATAATTCATCACAAACATATATACTCACAACCATAAGCATTGGCTTTCATAGCCATAGTCACAGTTTCATACTACACAACTGCATACTATACTGATACAAGCCATAATCGTCACAACTTACATAATTACAAAAATATACACATATCATCAACTTTCCACACCTGTGGATATCTCACACTACATCAGAAGCTAGTATGCACATGAAAAACGTTCTCAAAACATTTTTACAAAAAGGTGTGGATCACTGGCCAAAAACCCGAGTAGTAGTCCAAGCTCAGAATGGTTGAAGACCACACCTATCTACTGCTGATGATGATGATGATCTGCTTACACATGGCATAAGCAGGGAAAAAGGATAAAGAGGGTCAGCTCATAGCTGAGTGAGATAATCATAGCATCGTGAGTTCATAACAGAGCATACCCCTACCATACATCTAGCAAACAAGCCAAAGCACTAGGATCAGATCTCAGCCCTCCGACATCCCAATAGGCAAATGACTCAACCACCTTGACTTATGCATATGCATCTTATCATGTTTTACTTATAGGCGTCTGGCTACTCCCATGCTAATAACTCTCCCGGGAAACATACCCCACATCCCGTTGGATGTGGTCATACATACCCCACACCACTATGGGTGTAGATACCCCGACACCGCTCTGGTTGTGGTCATATCTCATAAGAATTCTTCAGTCACCACCACATGAGAGGTGTGACTATCATACATATCATAATAGAGTAATAGCATAGGGAGCCCTAATTACAATGTAGTTGACCGTGAGACCACAACACTTATATTTGGTATCCTTATACATGATTCATATCTCATCTTGCTTAATCATAATTCGTTACTTGCACATGTACTTGACCAGGCCACAATTGGCTCAACATAGGTAAACCAGGAGTCGTATAATTGCACTTCCTCGGGATAAACCCTCGTGCCAGTCATCCTCCTTAAACGTCATAATATCACTAGGGAATATATATTTTCCCACATGTGCATCCAAATACAACAATCATGAAAAATCATACCCAATCACCTTTTCGAACCATCATAAGGCATATCAACAGTCAAGCCCACAATTTGCAACATATACGGAATCATTAGCATAAACAAGGTCCATCTCGATTAGGGCAAGTCAATAATATCATACAGTAGTCCATGGTTCATCACATAACACAAAAGTTCATACACCCTTAATCATGCAATTCTAGTTCACCTAGGTCAATTCTAAGCATCAATATAATTATCGTGATACGACAAACCCGGTATGCCGTGCTAATCCCTCACCAGTTCTGGTCGTTCAAACACCGGTTTAACCTTCCCGTACTAAAACGTCAATTTCAGGAACGAACCCCGAATTAAAATCCGAGACCGTCCTAATATCCCGTGCAGTATCCCCGTCAATATTAGTTCTAGGCTCCGGGTCAAATTCTCAATAAAAACACATCAAACCCTGGCCGGAGCTAAATTCAGCGATCCCGACTCCGACCTAAATTATAGCCGAAATTTAGGGATTAGAACTAGAGGATTGATTACCTCGCTGCAGGAAGCTCGTATATGAAATTTGGGCTCAATCCGGCTTCCGGATACTCCGAAACCCTAATTTGGCTTATCGAGAATTCAAGAAATTCCTGATCCAAAAACTCGTTTTAAAGCTCTAAATCGATAAATCACGATGCATAGATGAATTATGCATTACTTACGGGATTTTTGGATCACTAGGGCTCAAGAATTTGAGCTTTGGAATTTCCCCTCACGATGCCCTGTGCGCCTCTGTTACGCTGCTTCTCTCGGATGAAAATGGAAAAACGATGAGATGGAGAAGGAAAATGGGCTGGGGAGATTATATATGTGACCGCTTACTAATATATATATATATATATATATATATATATATATATAAAATTAATACGTATAAATATCCGATCGATCGATAATCCGATTTTCGCCGAAATACTATCAAAACGCTCGATTTTAAATCGTGAACTTTCTAGCGATCGAAATATGGGTTTAGCCGAAACGGGATGTTACAATTCTCCCCTCCTTAAAAGATTTCGTCCCCGAAATCTATCCTTGAGTTGTACCCTTAGTCCGCTTACTTACTCTTGACATGGTCTATCGTAGATAAACCATTACCTAACTCTTAGGTTAGGAGATCTGAATTACATAACTAAACACATAACACCTCAAGTTCCCATGTTTAGCTTTCAAAAACCTATACTGGGCTATCACAACAAAAGCACATCAGCAAGTTCAAAACATACTTATTAAGCAAGATTGTTAACCTGCAAAGTATGTCGCTACCAACTCAGGGTACTTCTCTCGCATACTTGCTTCAGTCTCCCAGGTAGCACTCTCACTTTCTTGATTCCTCCACGCAACCTTCAACATTGGAATTTCCTTCTTACGAAGAGTCTTAATCTGAAAATCAACAATCTCAACTGGAACCTCATCAAAAGTTAAATCTGGACTCAACTCGATCTCTTCTGGTTGTATAACATGGGAAGGATCCACTTTGTACCCCTTCAGCATACTAACATGAAATATATTATGGATTTGGGATAGCTCTGGAGGCAATGCTAGTTTATATGTCACTGGTCCAATCTTCTCTATGATTTCATAGGGTCCAATATACCGAGGTGCAAGTTTCCCTTTCTTACCAAATCTCATCACCCCTTTCCATGGTGACACTTTGAGAAATACTTACTCACCCACTTCGAAATTAACTTCACGCCTATTCGTGTCAACATAAAATTTCTGTCGATCTTGAGCCACCTTCAAACGCTCCCTGATTTCCTTGACCTTATCAACTGTGATCTAAACTATCTCTGGCCTTGAGATTTGCCTTGCTCCTTCTACATCCCAACATAATGGTGTTCTACATTTCCTCCCATAAAGTGCTTCATATGGTGGAACACCCAAGCTACTATGGTACTGGTTGTTGTAAGCAAACTCAATTAAGGGCAAATGGTCAATCCATGATTCCTCCCATTGCATTACACATGATCGAAGTAACTCCTCTAAGGTAAGGATGGTTCGTTCACTCTGGCCATCTGTTTGAGGATGATAAGCTGAAGTAAAATGCAGTTTAGTTCCCAAGGCATCATGTAAACTTTGCCAAAACCGAGATGTGAAGCTCGGGTCTCGATCAGAGACAATAGAAATTGGCACACCATGCAATCTGACGATCTCCTTAATATATAGTTGAGACAAGGTCTCCAGTGATGGTTTCCATCTAATGGGTAAAAAGTGAGCCGATTTGGTCAGTCAGTCCACAATAACCCATACTGCATCTTTTTCCCTTGATGATGGGAGACCATATACAAAATCCATTGTGATTCTCTCCCACTTCCATTCTGGAATTGGAAGTGGTTGCAGTTTTCCCACAGGAGCTTGATGTTCTGCCTTAACTTTCTGACATACCAGACATGTGAAAACATGTTCAGCCGCTTCCTTTTTCATCCCACGCCACCAAAAATATGGTTTGATCGTGTGATACATTTTAGTAGCTCCTGGGTGCATGGCATAAGCAGAAGAATGAGCTTCATCTAGGATCTCTTTCCTCAAGTTATCAACATTAGGAACACATGCTCTTCCATTCATCTTCAACATGCCATCTACCATTTCAAATGGGCTTTCTTTTCCTTCCCCAATGTCTTTAATGATTTTTTCCAACTCTGGGTCCTCCTTCTGCTTCTCACGAATTTTGTCATGCAACAAAGGTCGAATATTCAACCGAGCTAGTAACCCTGTCACACCATCTACTTCCAAATCAACATTCATTGCCCTCAAATCAACCAGATCCGTTATATTCTTCTTGCCTTTTCTGCTCAAAGCATCAGCAACTACATTAGCTTTACCTGGATGGTAATCAATGGTACAATCATAATCTTTCAACAACTCTATCCATCTCCTCTGGCGACTATTTAAATCCTTCTGATCCATAATATACTTCAAGCTTTTGTGATCATTTAGGATTTTAAAAGTCTCACCATACAAATAATGTCGCCAAATCTTGAGAGCAAATACCACCGCTGCCAACTCCAAATCATGAGTGGGATAATTTACTTCATGAGGACGCAATTGCTAGAGGCATATGCGATAACTCTTCCATCTTGCATTAACACACAACCCAATCCTTGATACGAGGCATCACTATACACCACAAACTCTCCCTGACTTGAAGGTAGTGCAAGTATTGGTGCTGTGGTCAATCTCTTTTTCAGTTCATCAAAACTCTTTTGACATGATTCATCCCAAACATACTTGGTATTCTTCCTCAACAGTTTAGTCAATGGTGCAGCAATTTTAGAAAATCCTTCTACGAACCGCCGATAGTAACCCGCCATGCCAAGAAAACTTCTCAACTCAGACACATCTTTTGGTGGAGCCCAACTCACCACTGCTTCCACCTTTTTCGGATCCACCTCGACACCTCTTCCAGAAATTACATGTCCCAGAAATATTACCTCCTTCAGCCAAAACTCACATTTTGAGAATTTTGCATATAATTGTTTTTCCCTTAGAATTTGCAACACAATTCTAAGGTGAGTTTTCTGCTCCTCCTCGCTTTTAGAATAGATGAGAATATCATCTATGAACACAATCACAAACTTATCAAGATATTCATGGAAAACTCTGTTCATAAGAGCCATAAATACCGCGGGTGCATTAGTGAGTCCAAAAGGCATTACCAGGAACTCATAATGCCCATATCTTTTTCTAAAAGCCCTCTTTGAAGTTGCTCCATCTGCCACTTTCAATTGATGGTATCCAGACCTCAAATCAATCTTAGAAAAGACTGATGCACCCTACAATTGATCAAACAAATCATCTATTCTTGGAAGGGGATAACGATTCTTCACTGTCGCCTTATTCAACCTCCGGTAGTCAATGCACATTCTCATGGAGCCATCTTTCTTCTTGACAAACAAAACCGGTGCACCCCAAGGTGAGATGCTAGGTCGAATAAACCCCTTGTCTAGCAATTCTTGCAATTGTTCTTTAAACTCCTTCATCTCAATTGGTGCCATTCTATATGGTGCCATTGAAATTGGTGTTGTGCCAGGTACCAATTCAATATCAAACTCTACTTCCCTTTCTGGTGGAAGGCCGGGAAGTTCTTCGGGGAATACATCAGGAAACTCCCTTACCACCTCTACATCCTCAACCTTCTTATCATTTACAACAATAACTTGAGCAAGAAAGGCTTCACAACCTTCCTTCACTAATCGAAAAGCTTCCAAGGCAGAAAGAAAACCATGAGTCTCATTTTTCTTAATGCCTCGAAATACAACAATACCTTTATCTGGTGTGTTGAATAACACTTCTTTCTTTTGACAATCCACAACAGCTCCATGTGTTGCCAGAAAGTCCATTCCAAGGATGACATCAAATTCATCAAAAGGTAGCAGAATTAAATCTGCTGCTAGGAAAGCTCCTTCCACACAAATGAAGGAACTTCTAATTACTGAGTCTACCTTCAAGGTATCTCCCACAGGTGTTTTAACACATAAGGTATAACCTAGCTTATCTGGAACTAAGCGTAGCATATGTGCAAACGTATATGACATGAATGAGTGAGAGGAACCAGTATCGATCAAAGCATATAATTGCTTGCCAAGGATAGAAAGCATACAAGTCACAACTTCTGGTGCCACTTCTGCCTCCCCTCGAGTCATTGCATAAACCCTCGGTGCTCCCTGTGCTCTGGTACCCTGTGTACCACTTCCTGATGGCTGATTTCGACCACCACCTCTACCACCTTGTGAACCACCACGACCACTCTGAAATCCACTACGGACTCCCTGGTAACCACCCCTGAATGGGGCTCTATTAAATTGCACTGAAGGCTCGGACTGTGTAGCTCTTACTTCTCTCGAATGCGGATAATCCCTCATGATGTGCCCAGGTTGGCCACAGTGAAAGCATACACCAGAAAATCTCCTACACTCTCCAAGATGCCTCTTCTGACAAACTTGACAAAATGGAAATTGTGTGGCTGAGGAAATTGGTGCCCTGTATGATGTTCCTGACATAGATTGACTCGGTGTTCTCCCAAAACTGCTAGGACCTCTCCTGGGTGGGTAACGAGGTCCAGCATAATTTACTCCAAACTTCCTCGTCTTCTCCTCTTCTTTGGCCTTGTTTTCCTCTCTACCCTCAACTTCATAGGCTTCATACTTAAGTGTTGCCTCCTTGATAGTGGCCATGCTCTCTTCATCAACCCTGTGGATCTTTTCTTTCAATCCTAGACGCAGACCATGCAAGTGTCTCATCTTCTTCTTATGCTCAGTATCCGCCACCCCATCCTCAAAGTAAAGTAGTCGAACAAACTTGATGGTGTACTCAGTAATTGTCATATTCTCTTGCTTAAGGTTGGCGAATTCATTGTTCTTTGCCTTGATAAAAGCTTCGGGAAGAAACTCTGTCTTAAAGGCCTTCAGGAACTCCTCCTAGATGAACTGAACCCGTTCACCATTAACTCTAGAGATTGAGGACCACCAGCTCCTCGCATACCCCTTTAGGAGAAAAACAACATATTGCACTTTTTCCTCTGGGGTCGCATAAAGATATTCAAACACATCTTCCATCTCCCTCAACCACTCTACCACTCTACCACAGCATCTGGACTCACATCTCTTTTAAAGTCCCTACCACCCAAACTCTTCATCTTTGCATAGTCTAATACTGGCGGTCTTGCATCAACCGCCCCCACTCCTCTCGACTGGTCAGTAGGAACATTATCACAGCTTCCGTGCGAGCTACAAGGAAATATTGGCCTTAGATTGATCCACACAAAATTCATTCTTCACCAAATCTCTCACTTGTTTAAAACAAAAAATTTCCCAAAATAATTACTTGAATACAATAAGTTCAAAATTCAATTTTGAAAACCATGATGCAGGTAATTTCATCCAATATACCAATACACATAATCATATCAAACTCAATTCCCAGTTTAAGTCATTATGGGGTACTCCCCTCCTTAGGAGTGTTTAACCTCCCATAGGGTATAGTATGCCATAATAGCAAAAAGAGGGAATCAGGCTCTGATACCAAACTGTAACACCCTACCCGATACGTATTACCTAATCATATTGTTCATACAATTGCAGCGGAAATAATCTCGGGTGTTACATTAATTATCAAAATTTACCAAAATAAAATTTCGACATGAATTACTCGCGTGATGGGCTAACAGTTCTTGCAACTTATCCTGCAAAATAATTCATCACAAACATACATACTCACAACCATAAGCATTGGCTTTCATAGCCATAGTCACAGTTTCATACTACACAACTGCATACTATACTGATACAAGCCATAATCGTCACAACTTACATAATTACAAAAATATACACATATCATCAACTTTCCACACCTGTGGATATCTCACACTACATCAGAAGCTAGTATGCACATGAAAAACGTTCTCAAAACATTTTTACAAAAAGGTGTGGATCACTGGCCAAAAACTCGAGTAGTAGTCCAAGCACAGAATGGTTGAAGACCATACCTCATCTTGCCTTCAACTCTTGCTCAGCTCCCACCTATACACCTATCTACTGCTGCTGATGATGATGATCTGCTTACACATGGCATAAGCAGGGAAAAAGGATAAAGAGGGTCAGCTCATAGCTGAGTGAGATAATCATAGCATCGTGAGTTCATAACAGAGCATACCCCTACCATACATCTAGCAAACAAGCCAAAGCACTAGGATCAGATCTCAGCCCTCCGACATCCCAATAGGCAAATGACTCAACCACCTTGACTTATGCATATGCATCTTATCATGTTTTACTTATAGGCGTCTGGCTACTCCCATGCTAATAACTCTCCCGGGAAACATACCCCACATCCCGTCGGATGTGGTCATACATACCCCACACCACTATGGGTGTAGATACCCTGACACCGCTCTGGGTGTGGTCATATCTCATAAGAATTCTTCAGTCACCACCACATGAGAGGTGTGACTATCATACATATCATAATAGAGTAATAGCATAGGGAGCCCTAATTACAATGTAGTTGACCGTGAGACCACAACACTCATATTTGGTATCCTTATACATGATTCATATCTCATCTTGCTTAATCATAATTCGTTACTTGCACATGTACTTGACCAGGCCACAATTGGCTCAACATAGGTAAACCAGGAGTCGTATAATTGCACTTCCTCGGGATAAACCCTCGTGCCAGTCATCCTCCTTAAACGTCATAATATCACTAGGGAATATATATTTTCCCACATGTGCATCCAAATACAACAATCATGAAAAATCATACCCAATCACCTTTTCGAACCATCATAAGGCATATCAACAGTCAAGCCCACAATTTGCAACATATACGGAATCATTAGCATAAACAAGGTCCATCTCGATTAGGGCAAGTCAATAATATCATACAGTAGTCCATGGTTCATCACATAACACAAAAGTTCATACACCCTTAATCATGCAATTCTAGTTCACCTAGGTCAATTCTAAGCATCAATATAATTATCGTGATACGACAAACCCGGTATGCCGTGCTAATCCCTCACCAGTTCTGGTCGTTCAAACACCGGTTTAACCTTCCCGTACTAAAACGTCAATTTCAGGAACGAACCCCGAATTAAAATTCGAGACCGTCCTAATATCCCCTGCAGTATCCCCGTCAATATTAGTTCTAGGCTCCGGGTCAAATTCTTAATAAAAACACATCAAACCCTGGCCGGAGCTAAATTCAGCGATCCCGGCTCCGACCTAAATTATAGCCGAAATTCAGGGATTAGAACTAGAGGATTGATTACCTCGCTGCAGGAAGCTCGTATATGAAATTTGGGCTCAATCCGGCTTCCGGATACTCCGAAACCCTAATTTGGCTTATCGAGAATTCAAGAAATTCCTGATCCAAAAACTCGTTTTAAAGCTCTAAATCGATAAATCACGATGCATAGATGAATCAGGCATTACTTACGGGATTTTTGGATCACTAGGGCTCAAGAATTTGAGCTTTGGAATTTCCCCTCACGATGCCCTGTGCGCCTCTGTTTCGCTGCTTCTCTCGGATGAAAATGGAAAAACGATGAGATGGAGAAGGAAAATGGGCTGGGGAGATTATATATGTGACCGCTTACTAATATATATATATATATATAAAATTAATACGTATAAATATCCGATCGATCGATAATCCGATTTCCGCCGAAATACTATCAAAACGCTCGATTTTAAATCGTGAACTTTCTAGCGATCGAAATATGGGTTTAGCCGAAACGGGATGTTACAATTTATCTCAAAGGAAGTACACAATGGAAATTCATGAAGAAGCTGAGTTGCTGGATTCCAAGGGGGTTAGAACACCAATGGATTACAAAATACATCTCTCCAGTCAGGTTGAAACACCCTATGAAGACCCAGAACATTATCAAACTTTTGTTGGCAAGTTGATTTACCTCACTAGAACTAGGTCTGACATCAGTTTTGCAACTCAGCAACTCAGCTAGTTCATGTCTAATCCTAGTACCGTTCATTACAAGGTTGTCCTAAGAGTTCTACGCTACTTGAAGACAGCTCCTGCCACATGACTCTTCTTCCTATCAAAAGGCTCTTTTCAGTTGAAGGCATTCACAAACTCAGATTGGGCGGCATGTATTGATACAAGACGCTCCACCACAGGTTATTGTGTTTACCTTGGTGACTCTCTTATCTCGTGGAAAAGCAAGAAGCAAAAGACAGTCTCTTGATCGTCTTGTGAGATCCAATGGTTGTTGTTTTTGTTGAAGGACTTCCAAATTAACCATCCGAAGCCAGCTGCTCTCTTCTGCGACAATCAAAGCGCCATATACATCGCCCAGAATCCCACGTTCCATGAGCGCACGAAGCACATCGAACTCGATTGTCACCTCGTGCGTGAGAAGATTCAATCTGGTATTGTCAAACTGCTCCATGTCTCTTCAAATCATCAGTTGGCTGATCTTTTCACCAAGCCCTTGTCTCCTGCGCCATTTCAATTACTTTTCTCCAACCTTGGTGTGCATAATCTATGCCCACCAGCTTACCCGGGGGGGGGGGGGGGGGGGGGGGGGGGGGGGGGGGACAGCAAATGCAGATTTGCAACTTTCCCAATTCCCAATTTCAAACTCAACGGCTCTCTGTTGTTCGATGAAGAGGAAGACTGAAGTGGTGCCATTTTGATTTACACAAGTCAATTTCCCGCGACGCTGTCGTTTTGCTCAGTTTCTGTGTTGCTGTTGAACGTTGTCGTTTTAGACTTTCGTTTTTCCCTTTGCTTTCTGCACAAGAACTTTTGTTTCCTATCCAAACTACCAAACAAGATTATGGAGCTGTTTGTCTTCTTCTTTGTAATCAGTCTATATAAGGCAGAGATGAAATGAAAGAGAAACAAGCTTGTAGGGTTTTTCAGTTCAACTTGGTTGTTAGCTGGATTCCCCGTGTTGAAAACTTTGAGGCTCATCTCTTGCAGCCGCTTTCTTGATGATAATGATGATATCAGCCGCTTTCGGGATTTGAGCTGCTTAGTTTGGAGATTCATGACCCCTTCGGTTTCGATGATATCAGTGTTTCTGCTCCGAAACTCAAATCGTTTACTTACAGAGATGTAATTCGCGACTTCTCTCCAGTGACAGAAGTATCCTTGGATGTGCCTTCTTTGCAGCAGGCCAATATCTTGTTGTGGGGGTATATGGGTTTGCAATTGCATGATGGCTATGACAAGCAATATGCGAACCTGTTGGTTGGTCTCAGTAATGCGCAAACTCTCATCCTCCAGTTCGATACACTTGAGGTAATAAGGAACCTGTAATGTGTACAAATCTTACTCTTAGTACTTTGTTATACTTGCTTTGTTTATGGTGGTCTATTTTGATGCACGTCTTTATGCGTTGATCCATGCTTGTGACTTGGTGAAGCATCAGCCGTCTCCATTTACAAGACTCAAGTCCTTGAGTTTGCTCTATTCCGAAGAAACAGTTGCCGTAACTTGCTATGTGATGCGTTTCTTTTGTGATGGCTCTCCTTTCATGGATGAAAATTCTGTGAAGCTAACCAAGGTGAGATGACGAACCATGCATGATGTGCTAATTGGTGTGAATTGAATTCCTTATGATTTGATTTGATTTGATTAATGCAGGTCACTACTTCATCATTCTCGTACAATATGCAAGTTTCAACATTGATGGTGAACTTCTGCAGTTGCTAAGAAGGTGGAGGCTCAAGAAGGTTCTTAAATTCAACTTGTTGATTGGGGGGTTGTGGGATATGTTGCTAGGCTTAGTTCGGGGAACTCTATAAAATAATTACTAACGATGTGACGTAGACTATCTAATGTACCTAATATAGTGCATGACTAATAAGTGACCAGCATTTCTTATTCGTTATAGTTACTATTTGAATATGGCGCGAAAATAGTTTTTAGATGGTTGGTGACATATGCAAATTGATTAGTAGAGCTATGACAGTTTGATCGATGATGACGTAGGCAAACTAATTTGCAGAGCTGTGACAATTTGATCGATGATAAAGACTTCTCTTTTAGTGAAGTTATTTGGAGTTTACTAGAGATATTAATTAACTAACTATTTTGGATTTGACAGAAAGTATTAATTTTCCACGTGGTTACATAACCAAATTAACATGGCCTAACTAATTTATCGAGTTCGAGACTTTATTGATGACACATGAGTGTTTTTTTTTTCTTTCCGTTATAGCTTTATTTTGATTTTGGCGTGAAAGGACTTTACAATTACAGAAAAAGGGCTTTTCAGGTTTTGGCAAATGCAAATAAATTAGCAGATTGCTGCAAGTTTGATGGATGACACGTAAGAACTTCTGTTTTATTATTTATTTATTTTTTTTATGGGAAAGAACTTCTGTTTTAGTGAAGTTACTTTGAAATGCGTCAGACTAATTAACTATTTTATCGAGTTCAAGGGCTCATTGATAATACATGAAATTTTCCTTTCCCATTATAGATTGGTATGAAATCTAACGTTTAAAGAATTTAATCACGATGGATAGAGGTGGCAATTGGATTGAATCAATGGATTTGGTGTATCTATGGATCAAGTGGATTGACATATTTGTGGATTAGATCAAGTGGATTGGTGGATCTATCTATGACTCCAAATGACATCTAAATCTTCGATCAATATGTAAATTTTAAAAAGTTGGGTACTAAAATGGCATAATAAAAGAATTAGGTACCAAAAAAATAATTTTCCAATCATATTTATTTTATAAAAAATTAATTTTTGGGTTCCATAATGTAAAATATGAAAAATATAGGTAATACACTGTAATTTGTCACTTGGACTCATGGATCAATCCATGAATCCACCAATCCAATTGGATTGGATTAGTTGGATATTTTATTGGATGGATTGGATTGGATTGAAAATTGTCACCTCTAATTAGGGGTGGCTATATTGTCAAGGCCGGTTTAACCGACCCGGATTGACTTGGTCCTAATCTGGTCTTTTTGGAAATATAGGGATCAAAGACTAGATTGGATACAATCCGGTTTTGACACAGTACGGTTTTGATGTGGTCCGGTCCCAATCTGGTTTTGCCCGATCTGTCACTGATGCTGAAAGGGAGGACGGGCGACGAGGGGTGGCGGCGGGAGGTGTGGACCGACGGGGAGGCGACATCAGTGTGGACCGACAACGACGAGCTTGCCACCTAGGACAGATGGAATCTATCTTCTCTATTCTCTCTGATCTCGTGCCGACGGCTTAAAGAGAGGACGAACGGAAGCAGAAGACAGTGGTGCTTGGGCACACGGAAGCTGGAGGCCGTCGCTTGAGCTCTGGAACTGGAAGGAAGAAGAAGGAAGGTCCTTCCTAGTGAAGTTCGGAAAACAATCTTCTCCATGGGATCTAAACAGGCTCTGGGATCTTATGGTTTCACGGGGAAGTTTTTCAAAGATTTATGGGATTTTGTCGACAATTCAGTAATTAAGCTATCTACTCGTTCTTTACCATGGGCAGGATGCTCTGTAGCTTTAGTCATACTTGGTTAACACTGATCTTGAAAGTAGACAATGTCGAGGATATGAGGCAAATCATGCCAATTAGCTTATGCCATTTTGTGTACGAAATTATAACTAAAATCATGGTTGAAAGGCTAGCCTGCCTCTTACCATAGATCATTTCGGAAGGTCAAAATGCATTCATCCATGAATGGAAAATAGTGGAGAATGTCCTACAAGGGCATGAGTTAATGCACTACTTGAAAAGATGGGTTTTAACTCTATCTGGAGAGGGTGGATACATTAATGCCTCCGATCAACGTCATTTTTTGTCCTTATGAATGGCACTCCTTCAGGATTCCTCACACCATCAAGGGGACTTCGACAGGGGGGATCTGCTTTCTTCGCTCCTATTTGTAATTTGCATGGAGGGGTTTGTGGCTCTACTCCGAAAGGTTATTTCTAAAGGGAAACTAGAAGGGGTTAAAGTTTCCCCGAGAGCTCCTCGGATATCGCATCTTTTTTTTTTTTTTTTTTTTTGCAAATGACCCTTATTTATTCCTCAAAGGATCTTTACAGGAATGTGAGAATTTGATCGAGGTTTTAAATGACTATGAGGAACTTAGTGGCCAAGATTTACTGGCTCTGATTCTAGGTGTCGGGGCTGTGGGTATATGTGTCAAAACATAGCCCGACCCGATTAACCCGCCCGATCAACCCGACCCGCAACCCGACCACAATCCGAATTGACTAAAAGTCAACAACCCGTAACCCGTCCGACCCGCAACCCGATTGACCCGTAACCCAACTAACCCGCAACCCGACTAACCAGCAACCCGATTAACCCGAACCCGATTGACCCGCAACACGACTGACCCGCAACGCGATTAACCCGAACCCGACTAACCCGTAACCCGACCGACTCAACCCGAATTTCATCTAATCCACTTGAATAATTATAAAAATATACAATACATTGTTTTTCAAAATAAAGTTTTTTCATTCTAAACTTAAGTAAAATTATTTTTTCATTTCGTATAAGAAATTTTAAAAATATGAAACTCACTTGATATTACGTATTTTAAGAAAATTACAAAAATTGAAACATGAAGGTCACTTGAGATCATGACAATATTAATATAATATATAAATTAAAATTTTGGTTAATTTAATTATTCAATAAAATTATCAATTAAATATAAATAAAGTAAAGTAATGTATTTGGTAATTTGATATTTTTAAAAGAACAGGGAAATTTTGGTGTATTCAAGTTTTTAGAAAGAGAAAGAAGAGGGAAATTTGGTTCTTTGAATTTTTTAGAAAAGAAACAAGTGGGAATTTTGGTGGTTTTGATATGTGGGAAGAGAAATAAGTGGGAAAGTTTGATTCTTTTGATTATGAAAGAGAAATAAGGAGGGAAACTTTTGACTTTTCAACTTTTTGTAGAAGGAAAGAAGAGGGTAATATGGTTCTTTCAATTTTAAGGAAGAGAAAGAGGAGGGAAAATTGAGTTTTTCTAATGTATGGAAGGAGAAAAAAGGAGGGAAATTTTAGTATTTTTGTGAAAAGAAAGAAGGAAACAAATTTGGTGTTTTCAATTTTTTGGTTTCTCATAATTTTAGCTTTTGAAATATGAATCTTTAACTTTTATATGGAGGGCATGACTAGATAAAATTATTCTTATATGCTTTGAAGGCTAATATGTATATATGTATGTAATTTTTTATGGGCTAATAAATAAATTAACCATTAGTTACAACAATTTATACTAAACTTGATAAGTAATCTTTGACGGTTCGTTGTTTAGGATATAAAGTATATGGTTAGGGTATAAGATATAAGGTACATATGGTTTATGGTGTATATGGTTAGGGTATAAGATATTGATGGTTTTGACGGTTCTAAGTTTTTTATTAACATATGTTCACTTGAAGTCATTTAAAATCTTTAACGGCAGGAGATCCCTTTTTAATTTATGTTTGAAGTCACAATAATTTTACTAAATTTGATAGCTAATCTTTAATGGTTCAATTTTTAGGATAATTCGAACAATTTTACAAATAACTCGTTTGGCAAGAGTTTACTAAAGTTATTTGGGCAATGAGTTATTTTGAAATAACTCCTTTTATCACTATGCTTTTGTCAAATACCACACGCCAAATACCATATTTGCATGGTTATACTAAACGAGATACTTTAATCCAATTACTACTGAATTAATACTAAAATATCAAATAAACAATTAACGGTGTCTTTTGGTTGCAAATATTCATATCACCATTACTATTACCTATCATACTTTACCAATTATGATTAATTACATAACAATTTGCAAGTCATACAAATTGATTTACCATTTTGACTAGTTTTTTTCAAAAAAATAAAGTATATATATACGAGGTAGAAATAAATTGGTTAAAAAGTTGAGAAAATATTTTAAATTAGTGTAATAAAATGTGTAAGTTGGTAATGAGTAATGAGTTAAGTTACTTGATGCGCTGGCCCGAACAACCCGAAACCCGACCCGCCCGCAACCCGCCCGACCCAAAACCCGATGAACCCGCAACCCGATTTGCCCGCAACCCGATTGAATCCGAACCCGATGAACTCGCTACCCGACTAACCCGCAACCCGTTTGAACCCGAACCTGATGAACCCGCAACCTGACTAACCCGCAACCCGTTTGAACCCGAACCCGATTGAACCCAGCCCGAACTCGCCCGAACCCGCCCGATTGATACCTATAGCTGTGGGAGTCCAAAATAAATATCTGGGATTGCCTACTATGATAGCCCAATCGAAAATGGCTATGTTCCGGTATCTCGAGGAAACATGTTGCCAGGTTCTTATGGGGTGTGGAAGAAGGTCGATCGAAGATTCGATGGATGTCCTGGTGAAATATGTTAAGGAGTAAACACGATGGGCCATGGGGTTTCGCCAATTTGAGCATTTTAATCAGGCACTTTTAGGCAAGATTGGCTAGCGCATGCTCAACAAACCCAACTCCCTTCTAGCCTAGGTTTATAAAGGGAAATATTTTCCAACTAGGTCCTTCATCAGTTCTATTGTGCGCTCTCGCCCGTTTTAGGGGTGGAAGTGTATAATTTATTGTCGGCAACTATTAGTACAGAGGCTACGATGGCAGATTGGTAATGGGCAGACAACTTCTCTGCTCCATACCAATTAGATTCCATGGCTACATCCAATTACCCCCTACGTATAACCCCCGGGTGTTGCCAGATGGTGGAGACCTGACGGTAGCGGAGGTTCTTTGCCAAGGGGAAGGGCGATGGTGTGATCTAAAACTTAGGCAGTGGTTTGACCCGCCCATCTTGTC